TCAAAGTTGACCAAAAACCCAAACTTAACGTAACTTAACAAATTTCCAGAATTTTTTTCATTCTTTCCTAAAATGACTATTTCCAATTCTAACTCTTTCTAGTTCTTTCAATTAGCGAGATGTTACATCATAAGACATCTAATTCTCTCTAGTTTTTATATTCTTCATGCTTGTTAATTAGTAGAAGTTTGATACTTCATTAAGATTTTATAAGGAGAGGCCTAACCCCCCTTGCTTGTACTTAATAAAACGCTACAAGACATTGTCTAATGGTACAGATTTGTGGAAAACAAAAAAAATGTGCATGTGAAATGATTGATGTAGGTAAATGACATAATCACTACTTAAAAAAAAAGTGAATATCGACCTGAAAATTACCGACCTCAAATGGAAGTTGGTAATTTTCGATCTCCGGAGGTCGATATTTTTAAAAAGAATAAAAAATTTTAAAAAAACTTTAGAAAACCGACTACAAGGGGTTGATTGTTATGCAAAATAAAGCAGAAAAATCAAATACCGACCTCTGGAGGTCTGAATTTTTCTCGAAAAAAATGAATTACAATACAAATTGACCTCTTGATGTCGATATTAAATAAATAAATAAATAAATAACAATATTTTATTTTTCTCAATTAAATATAAAAAATAAATTTGAGAAATTTTTTGAATTAATTTTATTTAAATCTTCTTCCGGAGGACTATTTTATGTAAAATAAAAAACAAAAAAAATTAAAATACCAACTTCCAAAACTCGATAAAATTAAATAGTATGTAAGTAAATTAATTTTTATTAAAATATTTATATAGTGACTTCAGAAAATTAATAAATTAATATTTTCAATTAACTTTAAATAAATCGTCCTCCGGATGACGGTTTTATATAAGTTAAAAAATAAATTAATATAAAATACCGACCTCATGTGGTCGATATTTTTTATTTAATATAATTACTTTCAATAAAAGCGATATCCGGTGGTCGATTTGTTTGATATTCCTATTAATCATAATTTTGTGATTGTGCATAATACTAAATTTTCATTTTACACCTACAATTAATTGTTTCAAAAAGTGTAACAATTTTATAAATAAAAAGTTAGAATTTGTGGAATAAATAAATAAACATCAATAATTCATATTTAGAGTATGAAACTACGTTGATATGAATTAGGAGATAATTATACTTATGTTTCTGGAGTAATGTACAAATTCTATCAATTCGTCGTCAAATCATGAACTTAATATTTCATGTAATGATGTAGAAGTGAAGAGCTAACATATAATCCATTCGAGTATGAAATACGAGATAATACTCGTAGAAATGTCATGATAACAATTAATTATAAATTTTATATTTATATAATTAATTGTTTAATTATTTGTACATATAACCTTCAATGTGATCTTATCTTGTTTTATGAAATAGACAATAGAACATTGTAAATTACTGTAAAAAGCAAGTTCTATCAAGATTATTATATACGTTCGATCTTGAATGAATGTCAAGTGTAGTGATCATATCGTAGGCAATGATGACATGTAAAGGATAATTCATCGGAGTATGAAATACATTGATTAATTATATACTCCTCGAGTAGTTTAACAAATCAAGCCTTATATATTAGTGGTTCAGATATGAAATACATTATCAATTAAAGAAATACCGATGATCATTTCAAGGAGATTTATATATTAAATTTGATATTGATAAACTTCTGTTGATCGATAAAATTAAATTTACATAATTAGGAGGTATATAATTTAAATTTATAAAATTAAATTTATTAAATTAAACTTCTGTTGATGTGTAGTTAAATTAAATTTGTATATGGAATTTTAATTAATAAAATCGACCTCAAGAAATGAGTTTATATTAAAATAAATTAATAAATACCGCCTTAAGGTCGATATATTTAAATTATTATTTTATTTAAATAATATCAACTTCATGATGTCTATATTTATTAAATATTTTTAATTATTTTAAAAGATACCGACATTCCGTGGTCTATAAATTAAACACTTCTATTAAAAAAAATGATAATATCAAAACCCTAAGTCAACTCTCACTCCTCTCTCACCCCGACCCACCCCCGACCCAACCCCATCGGCGCCCATCCCCACCCATCCCCGACCGGCGCCACGCCACCATCCCTGACCGTCGCCACCCCACGCCACCATCCCCGACCGGCGCTGCCTCAGCAGCAGCAGCAGGAGGTCGCGCCACCATCCCGAACGGCGCCGCCTCGATCAGCAGCAGCAGAAGTTCGCGCCACCATCCCCGACCTTCTTACTCAAGGTGAATTTTTAGAATTTTTAGAACCCAGTTCGAACTAGCTCATTGCTGCTGTTTTGTCCTCGCATTGGACTGTTTTTTGTATGTTCTATTTTGAGAATCAAACAACTGTGTTTTTGTACTTCTTCACCTAAAAGACTAGCTCATGTGGTTTCATGCTTGACTTTAGTGAGAACTTTGTAGCCAAATAATCCTGCAAATCAGTGACACCCTTAAAGGCCTTTGGACAAATAGTTCTTCTCAGCTTGCTTAGCATCAATCTTCTCAAAATTTACCTTACTAACATAAACTTTGGTTGAGGTAGAAATGACATAAGTCTGATAAACACAGATGCAGTTGATTTGTTATAACAAATACTGCCTTAATGAGGTTTGTCTTACATGTAAAAGGCCTTGTAGTAATAATAGTCAGTTGGGACCAAATTGGATTTCTCATCATTAGATTGTTTGTCCAGTAACCAATGGGAAAGAAAAAAACGATTGTAGCCATGTTTAGGGCATTGTTTCTTGGCTGGAGTGATATTTTCTGTTGCAGTTCTGTAAGCATGAAACACTGTTCTTATTTCCTGTTCAAAACATGAGCTAGTCTTTTTTTTTTTCTTTCTTTTTGGCTATGTTTTTCAGCATTTGTTCTCAATTCTCATACTACTTTCAATGAGCCGATTAGCATTTGTTTCTTTTCGTGCTAGGCAACTGAGGAAGCTCAACATCTAAAAAGTTGATACAAGACTATACTGCTTCTTTCATCAAAGTAGGAGATAAGGTTTGGTGCTTCTAAATTTCTAAAGTTCAAGTGCAATTGTTTTCTATAATGTGTTTGTGTCCATCTAGTATTGATACTTAGCTTTAATTTTGTAATAATTTGTTTGTGTCCATTGAGTGTTTGTTTAGCATAAGTACCAACACTAGTTGATCCTATTGATGACAAAATTTATTTTTGATCGATTTGTGTCCATCTAGTGTTGATATTAAGCTTTAATTTAGGAATAATGTGTTTGTTAAGCATAAGTACCAACACTAGTTGATCCTATTGATGACAAAATTGATTTTCTTGCAAGATCGATTTGTGTCCATCTAGTGTTGACACTTAGCTTTAAATTTAGAAATAATATATTTGTTAAGCATAAGTACCAACACTAGTTGATCCTATTGATGACAAAATTGATTTTCTTACAAGATCGATTAGTGTTCATCTAGTGTTGACACTTAAGTTTAAATTTAGAAATAATATATTTGTTAAGCATAAGTACCAACACTAGTCGATCCTATTGATGACAAAATTGATTTTCTTGCAAGATCGATTTGTGTCCATCTAGTGTTGACACTTAGCTTTAAATTTAGAAATAATATATTTGTTAAGCATAAGTACCAACACTAGTTGATCTTATTGATGACAAAATTGATTTTCTTGCAAGATCGATTTGTGTTCATTTAGTGTTGACACTTAGCTTTAAATTTAGTTTTGAGTTGTTTAGTTGGTGGATTTAGTTGTTGGAATTAAGTCAAAACTAAACTAGTTAAAGTTAAAATGTTGTTAAGTTGTTTAAATAAGTTAAAATAAATAATGTGGTTTAGTTGATGGATTTAGTTGTTGGAATTAAGTCAAAACTAAAATAATGAATTTTCTGACTTAAAATTAAAACTGACCTCGAGAGGTCAGTAAATACCGACCTCTCGAGGTCGGTATCGAATAGCGACCAAACTTATTCCGACCTAAGCTGGGAAGTCGGTATTTGGTCGGTATTTCAGGGAATACCGACCTCCGGAAGTCGGTATTTGTAGGTCGGTCTTCACTGATTTTTTAGTAGTGAATAAGAGTATATAGTGTAAAAGTTAACAGATCATTGCATCAATTATCCTACTTTACAACCACATATATCTTTTATAAATGTCAAATCTGATAGACTTAAAACACATGAACTTCAAAGTGCAATAATACAACTAATTTCTCCCATTCCTTCCACAAACAACTTTACTGCAGACAGGTATCTTTTAAATACTCTTCAGTTGTTAAAACCAGTCATGCCATGCTCCTAGTCCATACATAAGAATACATGTTAGTCTGAAAACATTGTGGCTACTCTCCCTGTACATTTTGATTTCAAACAATTGGATATCTAGAGAAGTAGTGGCAGTAATGGATGGAGTAGCCTTAAGCCACATATTCATGAGGAAAATTGGTTAGAATGTCAAAAACATTATATGACATACCGCATCTTTTCAACTTCTGCAATAAAATATCCACTCCCATTGTTGAGATTATGTTTCCAACACTGATTGAAGATGATCCAATATCTCATTTTCTTGGCTAGAAAAAAAAATCAAGCTATCATCCAATAATGCCAAATAGCTTCATAACAGGTTTGGTGATATGTCATCTACTGAAAATACTTATTTTACATTTGCGATCTTCAAGAAGAACTGAATGATAAAAACAATAAGCACATATTGACATGTGATGACATGAAATAGAGCAAATTGAAAATGATGTTTTGAATAAACCTCAGTTGGCAACCTTGCGTAATGGAAATACCAAGCTTTTTGCACGCAATACCACGATAATAAAATCGTAATCTAAAAAGAAATATTTTTGGCCTGAAACATGTTATATAGACGGGATGTCATGCAATGCAAGAATCATGTGAACAGAAAGCGTATAATAAATCAAGCTTTCTTCCTTGCATCTGAAAATGTCTTCTTCTTTGTAGGTGTACCTTCTGGTGGGGAATCTCTTAAGAGAGTCGAAACCTAGTGCTCCAAATTTGTAGATCTGTAAGTATTTCTCTTCCCCTTTTCCTTTTGTTCCAGCTGAATTGTTCCTTACTCCCCATTTGATGTGAAGCAGGACGGAAATTGCTCCCAAATTACTTCCTACTGAACTCCTAGCTGGACATAAGGACTTTAATGCATATCTGGTGGTGTGATTCTCACTTCTGAATCTCAAATTAAAATGGCTTCAGCAGAAAACAATGGTGCCTCTAGCCACCCCTCCAGTACCGGCGCCACCACGAAAACCACCGTTGTCGATGGCATAAACGCTGGCCTTATTATTTCAACCACCGAGACCATACGTTTGTTTCTCGCCGGAGCTTCCGCGGGAGTTGAACTCTCCGATGACCTGAGAGAACTCGCGTCTTCCCTTTCCGATCATCCCACGGTACCATACAAACATCTGAGGTCGGTTTGGATCGGGTCTAACCCTGTAACACGACCTGATCTGATGGGCTTGTTATCCGGATCCAATTTCGTCTTCTGCAGTCCAAAACCTAGAGAAAAAAGTGAGGAACTCAAAGCTCGGTTGAGGAAACTAGAAGAAGCGTTGGAGAGGAAGGCGTATGATGAATTGGTGAAGGATATTACTCCTAGGAAACCTGTGGATGAACCTTTTTCCTCTTATAAAGATCAAATGGGCTTTGGTGAGTCTCTCTTTTGCATATTATAATGATCTATTGGCATTATTGAAGTTGTATTTCCTAGTTCCTATTTTATTGACATAGTATTGGAATGAAATCAGTCTGAATAGAACAGACTGATGACATAGGATTCATAACCCCAATTAGTATGAATTAAGGCCATAGTTGATTGATATTGATTACTCTGATTGGAATCAGCTATTGAGGTGAGAATTGAAATTTTATTTAAATAGAAGTGAGTTCAAAAAGCTAATTTTTTGGAAAAATTTGAACTTTCTTATTCCAGTAATATATACAACAGCAACAACATACCAAATGTAGTCCTATAAGTGGTGTCTGGGGAAGGTAGTGTGTAAGGCTGTAAGCAACCTTACCCCTTGAATGATGTTCAGTTTCCCCCACTCCTAAGCTAAGTAATGAGCGAGAAAGACGAATGCCAAAAGAAACTATTTACGTAGTAATAGTAAGTAGTAGTGAGAACAGGAAATGTATAATTTCATCCGTCCTTCCAATAAAGCAAGCGACCAATGATTGCCATCAAAGCAAGTTGTATAGACTATAGACTTGCATCAGGTGGGAACTTGATAGGTAGAGAGGTTGTTTCCAATTGACCCTCGGCCTAAGACACACACACACAAACATATATATATATATGTGTGTGTGTGTGTGTGTGTGTGTGTGTGTATGTGTGTATGTGTGTTTCTAAGAAAGTGAACACAATTTTGATTTAACAAAGGTTCAAATTAGGACAGTTTAAAGTGGGAGTTAGAGTAGTTTTAACTGTGGGATATAAATCATAATATGATGGCAAGAGCATTAGCATGGGTTAGTCAAAAGCTTCATTTTTTTTTTTGAACTTGGTAAGGTTGTCAAAAGCTTCAGTTGAAAAGGAGTGATTTCTGATACACTTCATCATCTTCAGAATCTGATGAGGTGAAGTTGGTTAAGACTCACTTATGTCTACACACACATATGTAAACATCCCCCTTGATTGGACAACAAAGAAAAAATTGTCTGGAACAACTCTCTAGGTTTCAGACTCAGGAGTTGACTTCAGTTTTTTGCTGTCAAAGGCTTGTGTGATGGCGTGGTTAAGCCCTGAAACTAGATGGAAAGCAGGCTGATTACATTTCTCTCTTGCACTGCTCTTTAGTTCAGATAGGTGCTGAGGGATGCGTTTGATCATGCATGGATCTTTCTTGAAGCTAGCATCACTAAACAATAACTATTTCACTTAATTATACAGTTCCATATCTTTTTGTATAATTGTTTTTGTGTTTGCAGTTATTGTTCTTTGATTGCATTTATATTTAAATTTGCACCTTTCTTCATCAAACCATCATTTTTCTTTGCACTTTGCACTTAAATCCCAACAGACCTCAGTGCTCCTTTTTTTTCCCGCCTTTGATAACATTGCTTCCTATATGAGCATTTAGAACATGTATTTCAAAGGTATAGGGCTAATCAAATTTCTTGTGTTCCATTATAAGAGGGCTGTTTTGGTTGGAAAAGATGTGGATCAACCTTCCAAGAGATTTCTTGCTAGGCTACTCTTCGATTTGCTTAATAAATAACCTGATGGTAGAAGTAACAAAGTAAGTTTGAATAAGTGTGTCTGTTGGGATTCATCGGAAACAGCCTCCCTATCCCACAAAAGTAGGGGTGTAAGGTCTGCATACATCCTACCCTCCCCAGACTCCACTTGTGGGACTACACTGGGTATGTTGTTGTTGTATCTATTGGGATTCAAAGAGATTGGGAATTATTGCTTGTAAATGTTCTTCTGAAGATTATTTTTTTTGGACAAAAAATGCTCTTCTGAAGGTTTTGCAAGCCTCATATGATAGATTATAGGCAAAACGTCTTTATACATTTGACAGGGTGTTGCCAAAAAAGATAGAGTTGGAGATAATTTTAGTATCTAGGCACGATTCATAATCAGACTTGTTGTTCGCATGCCAGCCTTGTTTTAGCCGCTAAGTTTCTCTAGACTTTTTTGTTAACTTTTAGCCATTAAGCAGTTCGTTCTTGGAGGCAAAAATCATACAGAAATTAGTGATGATTTGCTGAAAATTAGAGGATCCTATATCACTATCTGCCATTCAAAGCTTCAATATCTTCAAAAGTCTAGTTTTACCAGACATATGAGAGATTGATTTTTGATTAGTGAGGTCATCTTGTTCTCTTGTTCTTTGTCATGTGCATTTCTAGGGAATATCATTTAGGAGATCTGATTAGGGTTCCAAGTGTTTCTTGCCTCTGCATATTTATACAACTCTTCGGTAACATGAGCTGAGCCTTGTTTCTGTGATATTTTTCGTTGTATATAAAGAATAAGTTGTTACTTCCTTATGGTGTTTGACGTGGACACGGAGGTTAATATTTTAATTTGACTTTACATATTGTATTTGTGATTGCTGAGGAAAATATTAAAGTAATGGTTAAAAAGTTTGTTTGATAGATGAACCATGCTATCGATGATTAAACTTTGAACAGACGTGATTTTTTTTATTTTTTATTTTTAAATTAAACTGCCTCCTTTGATCATTGATGAGCAAAAATTACAAGTTTGAGTTTGGCATACCAAACTGATTACATGAGCATAGAGTAGTGACAAAGCGGTTTGTTTCCTAAACTAACTGTAGCTCTAGTAGAAATGCAGAGGTCAAGAGGGGTCATATACAATAGTTGCTGGTTTAAAAGTTTTGGATCTGAAGGTAGGAAAGTCCCATCTGTCCATATTAACTAGACCCTTAACATGTCTAGGAAGTTCCGAGAAGGAGTTGAAGACATGTACTCCCACCAAACCATGACCGAGGGCTGCTAGTTTATCAACAGGTTTGTTAGCCTCCCTAAAACAGTGACTGATATTAAAACCATGGTAATCAACTAACTTCTGAATCTCCTGAATCTGGTTCTCAAGTGCCCAAGGAGGTCTCTATTCTTTTTTTTATCCATTTAGACAACAACATGGAGTCTGTCTCTCCCCATACCATGTCGTAGCCTCTGTTCTTACACCAGTTGAGCCCAAATAACATTGCGGTTGTTTCTGTCATGTTGCTTGTGCCTTGATCGAATAGGCAAAAATCAGAAAGCCTTGATTATCTCAAATTATTCCGCCGCCTCCACAATTTCCTTGAAGGCAACTCCCATTACTATTGAGTTTTACTATCAGTGTAGGTGGTTTGAGCCACCTAACCATGATAAATGTCCTTTGTTGGATTTCAGCTTCAAATTTTGGCATATGCTATCCCATGTTGCTCCAATTCTGGCCTTGCTAAAGGAACCTTGTAACCTGCAAGATAGTAAAAATGTCATTAGTTTTTGTTCTATAGAGTGAAGGTTTTTCATCCTCAAACTTGCTACTACATCTTTGTCTCCACAATTCCCAACAAATAATGGAGGGTAGAGTTTTAGCAATGAAAGCAGCTATGGGGTTGCGAGTCCTCAAATTCCACCAATTTATCAAAAGCATCTTCAGAGAGATGTTCCTATAACTGATTCCCAGAGGACCTGCAAAATTATTCCACACTCTCTTGGCATGATCGCCTTGACAAAAAAGATGATCTACCGTCTCAATTATATTGATTCTGTTAACATCATCACAACAGTGGCATCCTCGAGGAATATTGATGCCTAATCTTGCCACTTTATCATTAGTAGATAATTTATCATTAATCGCTCTCCAAGTGAGAAAAGACATTTTAAAAGGAATGTTGCTGCTCCAAACATTATTGGAGATGTTCTGATTTTTTTTTTTTTTTCTGATGTTGCTCCAAGCCAAACAAATGCTGAATAGCCCGGTAGTAGTCTGGGTCCAAATGGCTTTATCATCTTTATTGTTGTCAAGAACAATTCCTAGGCTAATAAGAACCTTGCAGTCCACAACAAAAGTATGATGATGAAGTGGCTTTGGAGATACAACTTGGAAGACGCAGGGCTCTGCAAAGAGGTCATCATAGCTAAGCATGGAAGGCTGAATCAATGGTGCACAAATATTACTACACTTCCTTGCGGAGTGGGACTATGGAAGAGTATTAGGATGTTGTGGGACACATTTGATCAGAACGCTTACTTTGAATTGGGCAATGGTTTACTCCTAAAATTTTGGACAGACATATGACTTGGAAATAACACTCTTCAGGAGAATTTCCCAGATCTGTTTACAATTGCTCAAGATCCCAATTCTGTTATTGCTGCTAATAGAGAAGGGATTAATTGGGATCTGAGATTTAGAAGGAATATGCACATTGGGAAGTGAGTGATCTGGTAGACCTTTTTGCTAGACTACAACACTGTCACATTAATCTCCAGGCAGCTGATAAGCTCAAGTGGGGACACCAGAAAGGAGTTTATACAGTCAAGGAAGGGTATCAACAATTGTGCTCTAGAAACCCTGTGATAGATAACTGGCCCTGGAAACTCATTTGGAGGACCAAGCTACCACCTAAGGTAGTTTTTTTCACCTGGACAGCTCTATATGAGGCATGTCTCACCCAAGACAACATAAAGAAAAGAAAAATCCAGTTCCCAAACAGATGCTATATGTGCAAAAAAGAGATTGAAACCCCTAGACACCTTCTTCATTGTGAGGTGGCCTCAGAATTATGGAGCATGTTTTTTTGTCTCTCTGGCATCAATTGGACCACACCCCTCACAGTTAAGGATGCATATGAGAGTTGGAGCCTATGGAAAGTTGACAAAGCCATCAAGAAGATCTGGATTATGATACTGTTAGAATAGAAATAAGTATTTCCTACTTAGAATAGAAATAAGAATAGGAATAGGAATAGGAATAAGAATAGGAATCCTAGTTGGAAAAGGATTCCAATGTAGTGTCTATAAATAGGGTCTCAATGTAACTATTTAGATACACAATTCAATAATATTTTTCGTATATATTTCTCACATGGTATCAGAGCATTGGTGAGAACAAACAAGTCACCGTATGTCTATGTCAATTTCCGGTGACTGTTGGGTCTGATTTTGTTATACTTTTTTCT